GGGGCTGGCTGGCATGTGGAGCTGGGGGATTGAACCGCAGTCCCTGTGCTTTGTTAAGCTTGTTCCAAGTAGGTGCTCCAGACCACTGAGCCATCTCACCAGCCCCTCTAACACAGTTTTATTTCTTTGTTTTCTAATTCATGAAATTAGATATGGATTTGACAAATAAACTCTGGCCAGAAATAAAAGAGTTTGTGTTCAGTGGGAACATATTTTGGTTTGCCTTGCATGGAAACCAAGTAAGGAAGTAGTAATAATGACATCTGCCACTTAGATGTAATTGCTGTGCACTAGGTGCTGTAATTTAGTATGGACCAGGGAGCCAGATGAGTATAGTAGCCAGATGTAGGCAGGAGCAAAAACCAAAAAGGAAGGGTGTTAACCTAAGAAAGAGAACTGAAGAGGCTGAAGTGCGAACCACAACATGAGTAATTTGATGTGTCTGCTATGGAGGGTGTGCGCAGTGCTCAAATCGAGTTTGAAAAGTTGAAGCCTTGAGTGCTACAGTATGAAGTTCAGATGCTGAGAAAACATGAGAGGTTCTTAAGAGCCTCCATAGAAAGGTTCTTCAGTACAGCCAGGCATAGTGACACAGGCCTGTAACCCCAGTACCTGGGAGGCTGAGGCAGGTGGAACCCCATGAGTTTGAGGCCAGCCTGGGCTACATAGTGAGTTCAAGGCCAGCCTGAACTATCCAGCAAGACCTTGCTTCAAAAAACTGATCAAACAAGCAAAAAAGAAAAAAAAATTAAAACTTCAGTGTACTCTTCAGTTGACGAAGATACTACCAGAAATTGCCTAGGGTAAAAAAAAGTCCAAAAGGCATGTGTAGGAAAATGATGTGGAAAAGATCGTGGTTTATTTCTGAAAATGAAGGTAATTTTTTTTGGTAAAGTTGAAGGGAGTGAGAATGGAAATGAAATTGGGAGAAATAGATGATCCAGTTTAACACTTTTTTGCCTGCTGTATCTTGAGACTAAGTTAGTCTCAAGTGAAATACCCTGACAATTCTTGTCTTTCTGTTTTGCAGATATTCCAAGAGTTCAAGTTTATTCTCGTCTTCCAGCAGAGAATGGGAAGCCTAACTACCTGAATTGCTATGTCTCTGGGTTTCATCCACCCCAGATTGACGTAAAATTGTTAAAAAATGGCAAGGAGATGGAGACGGAACGGTCCGATCTTTCTTTTAGCAAAGACTGGACTTTCTATCTCCTGGCGCATGCTGCTTTTACCCCAAATGACGAAGATGAATACGCCTGCAGTGTTACACACATCTCACTCAGTACACCAATGGTAGTTAAGTGGGGTAAGTGTCCAATTTTTTCCTTACCCACATGTAGTGGTGCGTGCCTAGAATCCCAGCACTGATTATCCCAGCTTCCTGCTGAGGCATGAGGATCATAGTTTGAGGCCAGACAGTATTCGTTAGTGTCCCTGTGTCAAAAAAAACCAAAATCCACAACCCAATAAAGAAACATAAAACCTTCCTTAGCCATTGAAAGTTGTATCAACAAATCGGCATATTGGGATCTGAGAGTTTTAGGGAATATTCTGAAAGCATGTTTAGAGGTACCTTCTGGGAGGCCTCTGTCCAACTTACTTCATGACAAGGTCTTGGCTTGCAGCCCCACTATCCTGGCACCATGCAACTGTAGACTCCTAGTGTTTTTTGATAGATTTGGCTGTGAGGTGGGAGGGTTGGGTCCTAGTGGGGAATTCTGAACTAATGTCCAAGATTAGGAATGGTAGCTTGTACTCCCAGCTTTATTTCTAACAGTTTTGGGATTTGTTAGCATATTAGTATATTTTTAAAGTATATTATTAGTGTATTTTAAAAGTAAAACTTAATGTTCTCTATTTTCTTTTTCATAGATCGAACCAAGTAACTAACAGAAGCAGGTGAGTTTTTTTTTTAAAACCTTAAATTTTGTTTTGTTTTAGTATGCTAGGGACTATTTATAGACAGCTCTAACATGGTAACTGTCACTTTATGAAGGATGTAAATCAGAGTAGCATGTCAGCAGGCAAAGAAGAGTCCTATGGGTCCCATTCCCTGCTTCTATGGAGTGCCTTGAGGAGGGTGTGGCTCAGCCAACATCTGCAGAGTCATTGTGAGTGTGAATGGCAGGCTAGAAGCAGCCAGTTGTGAGGCGTTGATCTTTCTTTTGCCATTTCTTCACTGGCATTTCTGAGGAGGAGGTTTTTAGAAAGGAACTACTCTTTTCCTTTGCTTAGCAGTTAGTTTGTTCTTCATCCCAAACAGAGTGGTGACACAGTTCTGCAGACACCCACTTCTTCCATGTCGTGTTCAGCCTCAATGTGGGTATTGTGTTTGTTTTCTAGAGGCTCCCAAGGCACCAGAGGCAAGAAGTGAAAACGTTGTTTTAAATCCATGTAGAGATACTGCAATAGATGTATCTATAAGAATTCTAGAAGCATGAACCAGAGAGGAACTTTGAGTTCTCTTAGTCTTAAGTTGGAGTTCAGTGATAGAAAACCCACTTTTTAAAAAATGAAATTCTTGCCTGGCAAGTACAAGAGCTTGAGTTTAATCCCTGGTTCTGGAAAAAAAAAAAAAATTCTATAGCCATGATGTTGAAAACCCGTTCAAATCTCCTGTTAACATTTTAAAACAGGGAAACTGACTTAAGAGATCATAAGAGAAATTCAGTGCTCTACACAATTACTTGAGTACTAAATGGTAGAGTCAGGACCCAAATTCTAATACCAGCATTGTTTCCCTTTAGTATTACAAGCATCAAATGGATATGTCCTTTGTAATGTGTTTGTAGAATTGCTTGTAGTTAGTTCTTTTTTTTCTTTACTCATTATTAACTTTATTGAAAATCAATAATAATTATATAGCAAATTAAAAATTGTAGACAAATATTGAAATGTGAAAGATATAAGACGTAGACAGTGCATTTTAGAAAAAATATTTCTGAAATGAATATATAACATGAGATTAATAATAGATTGCACATTGTAAAAAATTTATTTACAAACTTAAATGAGTATAACAAAAATAGTCTAAAATAAACATGAAGAACAAAGAGTTTACAGATCAGTCATATAGTTTTCTCTGTGTCAAAATCAAGAAACTTATATTCGTATAATTAGAATTCTCAAAGTAGAAGGGGGTAGGCAATAAATATTTAAATATTTAAAATTTTTGAATTTAGTTAAAATTCTAGCACCACATTTCCAAGAAAAATGAACCTTTTGCACAAGAAAAATGAATAAAATCATACCAAGATACACAAAACTAATTGTAAAGAAAAAAATCATTAAAGCATATACATAGAAAAAATATTAGCTATGGAAGAACAAAATCAAATAGCATCTTATTCCATATTAGAAAACAAAAAGAGCAAGTGGGTAAGAAACTAGACTTATTTATTCACAGGACTGAAGGAAAAAAAAAATCTGTCCTCATTGAGTTTTATACTTAGTAAATATACCTTTGAAAACTAAAAGTGAAATATTTTCCAGTTATACAAACTCGAAATATTCTTAATACCTTCGACATAGCATATAGAAAGCAACAAAGAACATAATCCAGAAGGCAAGAGAAGTTGCTATATAGTCCTGGATAAAGAATAAAGAGCTCTCCAAATGGTAGTTATGCAGGACTATGTAAAATATAATTATATTAGATGAACCCATTTAAAAGGCCATTGACGATTTCCACAAAACAGTATTAATCTTACATTATGTACATATTTTTTCATATATATGTGTGTGTGTGTGTGTGTGTGTGTGTGTGTGTAAAAGACAAGGAAGAACTAATATAAAATCAATGGGAAATTGAAAAACACTTTTTTAAAGATTCTAGTACTAGGAGAAAATATACCATGTCTTGTACGTAGATTATAAGTCAAAGAAACAGTATAAATCATAAAACAAAAATTAAAATTAATATTCAGAAAGTTAATTACA